CGTTCGAGGAAGGGTCGCCGCCACAAGGCTGGGCGCGGCGGCGGGGGTGGGGTGCAGGTGGAGGTGGTGGTGGAGTCGGGTCGCCTGGTGGTGGCGCAGATGAGGGGATTGTCCCTGGTGCAGCCGAGCAGCCGTCCCAGCAGCCGCAGCCCCAGCTCCAGCCGCAGCAGTCGCAGCAGCCGCAGCAGCAGAGGCGGGCGAGTGGTCTCCCGCCCGGGTGGCCTGGCACTGGTGGCAGCGATGGACGTGGTGGTGGACGTGCGCGTGGTGTGCCTCCGGGTGGCAGTTCGGGTGACGGGCGCTGCCAGTACCAGCTTCTGACCGGTCCTCACCGCGGCTCCGTTTGTGGTAAGACCGGTCACTCCCCTGTTTGCTGCTTCCGTTGCCTTGACGACCTGTTTCGTCTTCGCTTCGGCCCGTCGCCCGACCTCCCCGACTGGTACAGCTTGCTTTGCCGTAGTATTCCAATTTTTGACATGGACATGGATGAGCTTAGCTTTGCCTTGTATGTGTTGTATGCTGTTGACTCTAGTGTGACTGGTTCTTACTACCCCATGTTGCCTAGTGTAGGTGTGCCTAGTCTTGCCCCCCCTGCTGCGTTAGGCGTAGACCCTTCTGCCTTGTTTAGCCTCGGTTCCTCCGTCGCCGTTTCGACTCCGGCCGCCACTGCTGCGCTCTCCTTCACCTTGGACTCTGGCGCTTCCCGGTGCTTCTTTCGCGACTCCACTACGCTGTCCCCGCTTGCTGCTCCTGCTGCGGTTTCACTTGCTGACCCCTCCTCCGGTCTGGTAGTCGCTCACAGTTCTACCACCCTTCCCTGACCGGCGGCTCCTTCGCGCTCGCTTCCAGGCTTGCACGTTCCCTCGTTATCCAGGAACCTAGTTGGTGTTGGCTGCCTTTAGGACCTTGGCGTCACCACTACGTTCCCTGGTCACGAGCGGTTTGCTGTCTGTACCGAGGCCGCCACTGGTGCCCTCCTCACCACGTTCCCCCGGGACCCAGTGTCTGGCCTGTTCACACTGGACAGTGCCCCCCCCCGCGGTTCGGACGCCCCCCTAGGTAGCTGCGTCGTCTCAGGTTGCAGCGGCCTGCTCGTGTCGGTCACTTACTCACCCGACCCTCCTGTGGCACCATCGTCTAGGTCACCCTGCGCTCCCGCGTCTGCATCACATGTCAGAGCACGGTCTTGTCCTAGGGCTCCCAGGGTCTTTCCCCGAGTTACCCCCCCCCACAGCGCCACCGTGCACGCCCTACGTCGAGGGTCGGCTCCGCTGTGCCGCTCACACCTCCTCTTTTCCCCCCACCACCGCACCGCTACAGACCTTGCACATGGACGTCTGGGGCCCCGCCCCCGTTCATGGGCCGCGTCGAGAGCGCTACTTCCTAGTGCTTGTCGACGACTACACGCGCTACACCACGGTTTTTCCCCTAGAGCGGAAGGCCGACGTACCTGACGTTCTTATTCTCTGGCTAGTCTCTGCGCGTGTCCACCGAGGTCTCCCTGTCTTGCGTCTTCACTCCGACCGTGGGGGCGAGTTTGCATGCGGCGTCCTTGGTCGCTTCTGTCGTGCGGAGGGCATCACCCAGACGTTCACCCTGCCGGACTCGCTGCAGCAGAATGGGGTCGCTAAGTGACGCATCGGTTTGGTCATGGAGGTGGCTCGTACCTCCATGATCCACGCCGGTGCGCCCTATTTTCTATGGCCGTTCGCGGTTCGCTACGCTGCTCATCAGCTTAACCTGTGGCCGCACCCTCAGCGGCCGCAGGTTTCGCCGACTCTTCTTTGGACCAGGTCTCCTGGTGACGCGTCTACGTTCCACGTCTGGGGCTGCCTTGCTCATGTTCGTGCCTCTAGCATGGACAAGCTTACTGCCCTTACAGTCCCCTGTGTCTTCCTTGGTTTCCCCCTTGACTCGTCCAACTGGCACTTTTACCACCCGCCATCCCACCGTTTCTTTCACTCCCGCGACGTTACCTTTGACGAGTCCGTCTCCTATCATCACCGCTTTCCCCACCGTGGTCCCCCGGTTACCCCCCCCCTGTTCCTGGTTCCCCCGTCCCTGGTAGCACCAGCCCCGCCCCCTCCGCGTCTTGCCCCGTCCCGTGTGTCCCACGTCACTCCCCTCCCGTCGGTTCTCCCGGTTGAGGGGTCTGCTGACTCTGGTGGTCCTGCGGCCCAATCCTTGCCGCCTGCCCCCCCCCCCTCCCCCCCCCCCCCCCGGTGTCTCCTCCTCCGCCGCCTCCGCAGCCGCCGTCGCCGCCGCAGCAGCAGTCGTCATCGCCGTTGCAGCCATTGTCGCCGTCCCTGCCGCAGAAGCCGGCCGTCTTCTCTGGTGGTACTAGAGTTGGAGGTGGTGCCAGTTCTGGAGGGCTTTCTGGCTCTGGGGGTGTTCCTTCTGGGGGTGCAGGAGTGGAGTGTTCTGGCGGTAGTCGTGGAGCCGTTTTCGGCCCTGGAGTCGGTGTTGTGCCGCAGCAGCCACGGTCCCCGCTGGTATCAGCCCTTCGCCTGCTTGGCCTTCTGTCCCCTGACCCGGCGTCTGTTCCTCTCCTGCCGTCCCCTCCTCTTCCAGTCTACGGCCCTGTGTTCCCTCCCCCCGACTCGTCCCCGGCTCGTCTCCCCCCTCGTTCCCCTCTTGTGTTTCCTCCTCTGTCTCCTGACTCGACGCCTCCGTCGCACGTCTGGGCTCGCCGTCCCTCCCGTGCTCGCCCTGTCTCCCCTGTCTCGCGCTCCCACCCCATGTTGCTTCGTTCCCACGTGTCCCATCCTCCCCTCCTCCCGTCGCCTCCTCTATCCTCCCTTGTCGTTGCGCCTCCCCCTCTGTCTGACTACCTTCGTGCCGCTCGTCCTCTTGTTCCTCGTGTCCTTGCCTCTCTCGTTACCGACCCGTCTGTTCCGGTTTCGCGTCTTGACGCTCTTGTCGCTGCGGTCGCTGACTTCGCCTCTACCCGCCGCCTTGACTACGCCACCACTCTGGTCTCTGACCCTGCCTATCCTCCGTCTGTCGGGGGTGCTCTTGCCCTCGGCAATGACGTCCTGGAGGACCGCCAGTACGAGCTTGCTTTCCTGTCCGAGGCTGCTCCCCATCTCTGTTCCATGCTGCTAGTCCCTGAGGGTGACCCAGACGCTTTCGACATCCCGACCCCTCGCACTTACGCTGAGGCGACCTCGGGACCCTGGGCCTCTCAGTGGATAGCTGCCATGGAGCAGGAGATGGCATCTTGGAGATCCACCGGCACCTTCGTCGACGCAGTTCCCCCACCTGCGGTGAACGTAGTCGATGGCCGCTGGCTCTTCAAGGTGAAGAGTCCTCCTGGAGAGCCGCCTGTGTTCAAGGTGCGCTACGTGGCTAGAGGTTTCAGTCAGCGTGAGGGGGTGGACTTCTTTCAGACCTTTGCTCCGACCCCGAAGCTGACTACTCTTCGGGTGCTGCTACACGTAGCAGCTCAGCGTGACTACAAGCTTCACTCCCTCGACTTCTCCACTGCGTTTCTTCAGGGCAGTCTACACGAGCAGGTCTAACTGCGCCACCCTCAGGGCTTCACTGGTACCTTCCCTCTTGGGACCCAGTGGCTCCTGCGGCGCCCCGTCTACGGCCTGCGGTAGGTTCCCCGTGAGTGGCACGACACGCTGCGTGCTACGCTTGCTGACCTGCAGTTCTTTCCGTCCTCTGCAGACCCCGCGCTCTTTGTTCGGGCTGGCCAGACCCCATTCTACATCCTTGTTTACGTAGACGACCTGGTTTTCGCCACTGCAGACCGGGACGCATTGGCCTCGGTGCAGGCAGAGCTGCTGAAGAGACACACCTGCACTAACCTTGGAGAACTGCGCCACTACCTTGGCTTGCAGATCTCCAGGAACAGAGCAGCGCGCACCATCACTTTGACTGAGTCACACTTGGTGCGCCAGGTCCTTCAGAGGTTTGGCCTTCAGTTCTCCTCTGCACAGCCCACTCCTCTGCCTGTAGACCACAGACTCTCTGCTCCAGTTCCTGAGGAGTCAGTAGAGCCTAGTGGTCCTTACGCAAAGCTGGTGGGTTGCCTCATGTACCTGATGACTTGCACTCGCCCAGATCTCGCATACCCTCTCAGCATCCTGGCTCGCTTTGTGGCCACAGGCAGACACCGAACTCAGCACTGGTCTGCCGCTAAGAGGGTTTTGCATTATCTTGCAAGTACATCGGGCATGGGGTTAGTGCTAGGAGGACGCAGACCGGTGGACCTTACTGGACACACAGACGCTTCTTGGGCAGACAACGCTGAGACCCTCAGGTCCTCGCAGGGCTACTGCTTTAGCCTTGGTTCAGGTGCCGTCTCGTGGAGAGCTACCCGCTCGTCGTCTGTTGCCCAGTCCAGCTGTGAGGCCAAGATCTACGCCGGTGCCATGGCGGCACAGGAGCTTCGCTGGCCGACCTTCTTGCTCACTGACTTAGGTGAGCGGCCTAGCTCTGCCCCGGTCCTGTACGCTGACAACAGGGCCATGATCCTCCTGTGTCAGGAGCCTCGACTTGAGGGCAGGGCGAAGCACATCCAGCTGCGGTACTTCCTCCTGCGCGAGCTGCAGCAGCGCCGCCAGGCATGCGTAGTACACTGGGCCTCCAGTGCCAACACGGCTAATATGTTTACGAAGGCACTTGCGCCTAGAGATCATCAGCGGCACTGTGTACAACTTGGTCTTGTTCTTGTAGCCTCTCATTTTCTAGGGCCTTGATTGTGTACAGACCTTAATATATATATTACCCTGACTGGCCTTGTGGCCTCTCCCAGTGGCTGGACTAGTAGTGCCACCCTGCTCTTGCTCTTGCCTTGGTCTGTACTCGTTTGATTGGTCTTTAGACCCTTGTCTCAGAGGCTGGACTAGTAGTGCCGCCTTGAGCTGTTTATTCCCTTGTTAGGCGCTGCCCCTATATAGTCTAGGGGGTGTGTCAAACATAACATAGGTTGTTACTATAGACTATACAGGTTTGTGCCTTAGAGGGTACAACACACTAGTCTACTGTATATTGCCCTGTATCCTCCTATTCTAGTCATTCTCTCTTTCTAACATATCTTTCCTGGCTCCTGCACTTCTCAAGTGGATGAACGATGGAGAGCACATTGCTCCCCTTGCAGCTGATATCCAGGAGTATCACTGACGTTTCCACACGGAGGAAGGAATCAAGCATACTGCACACACTGAATCTAGCACAGCATGCCATGAAAAGCCGTCAGTAGTCGACATCGCTCTTGAGCTCGACTGACTTCAGTGAGGGAAAGTGCTTCAGCATTTTTCTCGCCAAACACTCTGATTGTAGGCGATCTCCTTGAAATCCTTGCACACGAGAGAAAAAGCGATCACGTCTGACGGAGGAAAATATTGCGTGCAAAGGGTTTCCCATACATGATGAGGCAAGAACGATCGGCGTTCTTGTGACCTCGCCCGCTTCGCCATGGAATGAAGCGAAAAAATGGAAGTCGGGAGCTATCCGCAAAGAGCGAGATGGTGTTACCGACGAAAAATCAGCATTGCACGCACTCGGCTGATTGGTATGATGCATTTCTCCATTCCTAGCTTTCTGTGCTTGCTCTCGTGTGCATGCTTGCGTTTCCTCCGTTCCTGAGCTCTCAAGGTTGAAGGGACATTTCTATCAGACACGAATCCCACAGTCCAATCCAACGGTACAGATAACCTCGAGGACACATTCATCCTAGATATTACGCGCGCACATGTCGAGGCGAGACGCCTCGATGCCTGCTGAGAAGACATCGAGAACGTCTCGAGAATGTCTTGGTTGAGAACGTTGAGATAACTTGATCACTGGTGGGTTGAGAATTCGCAGTCAGTCCTACAATTTGCAGTTGTATCCCCTCGAGGTTGGAGAGCCCATGAGAGCAGATTGACGAAGGAGATGAGGCGCTGTAACGGGCTTCGCTTGGGCTTGCGAAACGTGGCAATGGTCGTTGGGCTGGATCAACCGCCTCGTGGGGTCGATGCGAAGACAAACTTTTGGTAACCGGTCTCCAGAATCTCATGAAGACTAGGCCATCCACTCAGAACCAGCAAAGCTGTTCCGCACCACTACTGCGGGGAGGCGAACTCCCACTAACTTGGTTACTCTGGTGTATGCTTCTGTCCGATGACTGAACTACCACGGCTTAGTCGATGCTGAAATATTTGTTGGCCCGATAAGAATTTCCCAGCAGCAACGTTTTCAATCGACCCAATGAATGCCCTCGTATGTTCACCAGAAGCCGGGAAACCAGCAAGGGATTCGTCGAGCTGAACCCTGAAGGCGTTGAAAGGGTTTCTCCGCTCACGTTTTTTTCTGTGCTTGATGGCTCGGCATATGAAACCATAGAGAACGGCATCCCTTGCATCTTCCGGTTTCCACGCAGATCCTCGGCTTTAAAGGCCGATGGTGTCGATTGATGCCAGCATAGGACCAGGATCAGCAGCACGACGATGAAGAGCGACAGCAGAGCGATGCGGAGTCCGTCACGCGACCTTGCCGATTTCTGCCAAGAGCAACTCACGCACTGACAGTCGTCGTGCTGCTTTGCCGAAAGTCTTGATCTGATAGATATGTCGCTTTGGATGGGACAGCATGCGGGAGTTGAGACTGGAGAGGCGTTCGCTTCTGAACCCATTCTGGAAAAAAATCTCTTGGGTGGTAGTAATGTACGAGGCCTCTGCTGTAAACGCGCGGCAACTGCGGACGAACTTCAGGGGAATAATTTGGCCTACTAAGGAAGTCTCTAAATTTGGTCACTCTCACTGATGATTGTGCTAGTGCTTTTCCGAGGAACCAAGAACGATGTGACGCGACGGAGAAAACCTTCGTTTGTAAACGCGCAATGGCTCACGTCACGTCTCGTTCGAGGTATTCTTCCTCCTCACGCTGAATGCTCCTACATCTCATCTCGACAAGCACGAATCCCTTCTTATGTGTGTGTGTCTTGTTCAAAACACACTAGCGGCAGTTTCAGTCAACACACTGAAAAGCAAGTACTAGTCAACAGAGAGGGATGGGATGGGAAGAGGAAGAAGGGGGCGGAGTCACCAAGCAATTCCCTTCAATAGTTCTTTGGAGAGGAGCTGACCAGTCTATGCCGCCAGACTTCCCCTCGTCCGAGGAAAAAGCACGACCAATTGCTGGTCTCTGGAGAAATCCTTGCTATACGCGCTCCAGCACACTCGGAACGTATCACGTAACTGCCATTTGTGAATCTAAGATAAGCAATAAGCAACAAGTGCCATAAGCCATAATGTTAAGACTAATATTCTCCATCTTCCAAGAAAACGAAGAGCCAGGCAGGCTAGTATGATTAATTCCGGCCTAGAGATGCATTAGATTCAGGAGCGGGGGCAGGCCCTACGTGTTGTCTCATAAAGCAAAGGGCGAGATTGCGAAGGCAAGGAGTGGGGCAGGAGTCAGCAGCAAAGCAGTTAATGCTTTCAAGCAGGTTGGGGGTAAGAATTACTGTAGGCACATTGCGCCGGGGAGAACAAAACGGAGGGAAGGGGAAGGAGAATAGCGAATGTGGGAGAAGTGGCGGCACATGACTCTCAGCAAAACAGAAAGCGGTATGCACTACAACGTTGGCTTATGATCGAAAATAGAAAGGCATCTATGTTAATGAATGACCAATAGAAAGGACAATATTCTGTCTTGGTTTGTGGATGATGTGGCACGCATGATCGAGTGCGAAAGGTGAAGCAGATGTAATGGGGTTTTCTCGCTCTTGGTTGCATCTAAGCGAGTAAGAAATCATAATGGAGATACGAATGGGTGCAAAGGGGTGTAGAAGTTTTACACGATCGGGTGCGAGGGGTACAGATGTAATACAAGCAAGCAAGGGCCGACAGGATCTGGAGGGGTAAGGAGGGAAGAATGGGCAGCACAATAGAGCGAATTGAAGTGAGTTTCGGTGCTAGGGATGCAGATGTAATACAGGCAAGCAAGGGCAGACATGATCTAGAGGGGTAAGGAGGGAAGAATGGTCAGCACAATAGAGCGAATTGAAATGAAGCATGATATGATGCAAAGACTTTCTAGACTAGCCATTTGTCAAACTGCTTGATGTGACAATAGAGCGAATTGAAATGAAGTATACACAGTATGATGCTAAGACTATCTCGACTAGCCATTTGTCAAACTGCTGTATGTGACACGAGCGGAAACCAACGAGACAAAGAAGGACATAGAACTCAAGCATTCAAAACGGCAAAAAAGGTTGGAACAAACCATTCGGATGTTGATCCAAAGCATTTGACACACACATGGTCATTGCATTGAACGTACAGTGCTTTCAACCGGACTTGATAAGCAATCGACTATAAGGGGGATGTTGTCAGCAGTGGCGATACCTGCTGCATTGACTGGATCTGAGGAAAGGTTGGGATTGTGCACAGGAGTTTGTCAAAGATAGTACATAAGTTTAGCAATAGTTTAGGCATTCTTTTCAGTCAAACAGCCTCCCTTTCTCACCCGTATTTCTCCCGCACTTGCTCTCCCCACTCCCTACCAACCCCCCCTCTCCTCCACTCCACCCCCCCCGTCCCCCACGCTCTCCCCCCATCCCTCCACCCTCCCCCCTACTTTTCATTCACCGGCAGCGGCATTGCACAGCCCCCCCATGCCAAAATCTACAAGCTTCGCTTTCTCTTCAGTCAAGCAATCTCGCCTGTTTCCCCCCTCCCCCCTACTTTTCATTCACCTGCAGCGGCGTTGCATACAACACATTCAACCACCCCCGTACCAAATTCCACAAACTTTGAGTCCTCCTAGGTCAAACAGTCTCCCATGGTCAGCCCTCCCATTCATACAACACAACAGCCCAACTTCCTTCCCCACTCCCCTCTCCTCCTCTCTCTGCCCCCCATGCACCTGCAGCGGCGTTGCAGAGTCCCCCCATACCAAAATCAATGAGCTTTGCGTTCTCCTCGGTCAAGCAGTCAAGAAATAGCTCAAACACATTCAGCTGCGCTTAGAACGACAAGGGAGGAACAGAAAAAGGAAGGTGGAACAGGGGGGAGAGGGGGCAGGCGGATAAGGGAGGATGAAATACAGAAGGGGGGACACGTGAGAGAGGAAGAGGGGGGTGAGAAATAAAGGCCTTCACCTCGGTCAAACAGTCAAGAAAGAGCTCAAATACGCTCTGCTGCGCTTCGAGTGACACGTGGGGATATGGAAGATGCAGATGGGGGGAGGAAGAGGGAGATGGGACATAAAGGTCTTGGGTTAAACAGCCAAGGAAGAGCTGCAATACGGGGGAGAGGCGGAGAGACGCACGGGAGAGGCGGCAGCTGCAGAAAGAGTAGCACTCCCCAGGCAAGCAGTCAAGAAAGAGCTTCAATACATTCAGCTGCGCGTCGAAAGACAAGGGAGGAAAGGATGGAGTTTTGAGGCGCCTCAAAACTAGACAAGGGAGGAAAGGATGGAATTTTGAGGCGCCTCAAAACTAGACAAGGGAGGAAAGGATGGAATTTTGAGGCGCCTCAAAACTAGACAAGGGAGGAAAGGATGGAGTTCTGAGGCGCCTCAAAACTAGACAAGGGAGGAAAGGATGGAGTTTTGAGGCGCCTCAAAACTAGACAAGGGAGGACAGGATGGAGAACGGTGGCAGTCCGCAGTCAAGAGGCGGCAGAAGCAGAAAGATTAGCACTCCTCGGTCAAGCAGTCAAGAAAGAGCTGCAAGACGTTCAGCTGGAGTTAGAGGAGAAGGGGAGATGGGACATACAAGGGGGAGACCGGGGGAGGGGGGGGGGTTGTCATACAGAAGGGGGAGGCGGAAGGGAGGGGGGGAGTGGACCGGTGGGGCGAGAGATAATAGACATTCTCAGTAAAAAATGACTTTAACACGTTCAGCTGGGCTGCGAACGACACTGTTGAATGGCGTACAGAACGGAGGGGGAGACACAACTGAGGGAGGAAATAAGGGGGGGAGATCAAAGGTGTCCAAAAAGAGCTCCAACACATTCAGCTGCGCTTAGAAAGACGAGAGGAAGGGACAAGAATGGGGGGAGGGAAGAGATGGCTTTTAAATGGCATTTAAATGGCGTAGAATGCCATTCAAAAGATGCAGATAAGGGAAGAGAATGGGCGAGGAGGGGACGAGAGGATGGGGGGAGGAGTGGGCGAAATAGGTAGAAGTCCTCAGTCAAACAAACTCAAAAACAGCTCCAACACATCCAGCTGGCGCTCTCAAAACAGTCACAAAAGAGCGACAATCACCTTACGCATGTAGTCATAGTTGATCGGGTCATAGGCGAAATTTGCTAGGTTGGCGACAATCTGTTCTTTAGCCTCTGACAGCAGTGAGGGAGGTAAGCGATGTGTGTTTGGGTTTGGCAGGGTAGGGGGGAGCGAGAGTGGGGTGTGGAAGCGGCAGGGGGAGGAGGGAAGGGGAAAATGGTACAAAAATCGGTTTTTGCGAACCAGGAACTGGGGAAGGGGTAAAAGGGAGAAACGATTTCTGAGGCGCCTCAAAAACTGGGGACGGGGTAAAAGGTGAAACGCAGAGGGAATTCTAGGGACGGCGGAGACTTTTGAGTCGACTCAAAAGTCAACTGGGGACGGGGGGAAAAGGGGGAAGCGCACAGGGAATTCTAGGGACGGCGGAGGGGAAGGGGGAAGGGAGCGAGAGGGTTTGAACCAGAGATTTGGAGCTCCGACCGTGGCTCACCTTCGTCTTGAGTTGTCTGAAACTCAGTAACCAGCGCCTGGTCGCACGAGACGAGGCAAGAGGAGGGAGAGAGCGGAGTTTAATGGAAAGGCAAAAAAAAAAAAAAAAAAAAAAAAAAAAAAGAGGCTCCAACCACCGTAATCACAAATTCCTAGCGCTCTGTGAAGGGTACCTACCTGAAGGTACTCGAGACGCGACGTTCCGCTCCTCCCCTGTCGCTCTTTCAGCCGCGCTGCCGTGCTAAACATGGCTTTAAGTTGCGACTCTGCTTTTCAGACGACCAAAGCGCTAAACATGGCTTTTGGAATCCAACGCCTCAGATGACCTAGGACACGCCGTGCTTCGCGAATGACGAAATAAACTTGATTCCATTACATGAAGTTTCTGTGAATTCTAATAAAACCCCCTACATAGCATCAGACATGCTAGCTGTTTCTGCTGGCGCCGGGAGGTCTCCAATCGTCATGAAATCGATTATCGTTTCCTCCGCATCAGACGCCAGCTGCTGCGGAGAGATTTAGAGCAGTGCTGGTTGTTCGACCCTTAACCGCACTGTACGACGCAATAATCTAACGACAACACACAAGAACACACCGCACCAACTTCAACCGTTCTGAACCTCACTTCTGTATGCGCAAAGGCACCATACGATTGAGAGTCTTCCTGTGACCTCTCTGTTTCCTTCTTTTGAATATCGTATTGAGCGATTCGACAATGCTAGACGTTGTTGGATCCTACAACGTCAAATAGTGAAAAGTTTTGCATTGAAAGGAGAAGAGTAGATAGACAACAATAAATGTTTCCAGGTTGGGGCACGAATATGGTTATGGCAAGTGGAGAAAGTCACCAACATGAAAGTGAACGAACGGTCATTGTTAAGGAATTATCGAGGTTGTACGGTATGAACAGCAAATGCAACCAATCACGCGCTTGCTTTTTACGCTCCAGAAAGATGGAGCATGCTAATTAATGAAGAGGCCCGATTGAGTCTGACCCGCCCTTTTTAAATACGGCTACGAGGGCCGATGGGACTTCCGCCCTCAAACGCCTCTTGGAGGACCTCCTCCACACGCTTGGTTGGAAGGATCTGAAGGGGGGGGGCACATCAAAAGTCACTGAGCCAGTGGGAAGTGATCACTTTTAAGTCGACTCAAAAAGCCCTCAAATGTCTCTTGAAGAGCCTCCTCCAAACTTTTGCTCCGGTGTATCTGATGGGGGGAGCACATAAAAACGACACCCGAGTACGATTTAGGACTTTTGAGTCGATTCACAGTCCTTCAAATGCCCCTTGAAGAACCTCCTCCACCCTCTTAGTTGGAAGGATCTGATGGGCAGAAACATAAGCACAATGAAACGAAGGGAAAAAAAAGGGAGTTACAAGCTAAAATACAAATAAGGGCTCCCTTGATTGTAAGGCGCCACTAGTTGCCTCCAGTCCCTCCTTATTGTAAGCGATCCACGTAATGGCGTTATGCCATGACGTTTGTTTGCAAGAGATGGCACCCCACCCGTGTTGCCTATCCCATTATCCCATTATCCATGGATGCCACATCAGCCCACTTCACTCATGTCACATCATCATACCTCCACGTGTATACCTCCATACATAATGCTACCATCCTACATGCATGGCATCATCATACCTCCAACCATGCATGCCGTCATCATACCTCCATCCATGCATGACGTCATCATACCTCCTCGCATGCCACGTCAGCCTACCTCCATACATGCCAGCACAGCAGCTGGCACCTCCTGGAGATCCTTGATGTTTTTCTCGGGCAGAATGACCCGCCTGATACCGCAGCGATGGGCAGCGAGAATCTGAGAGGAAAGGGGGAGGAAGGGAGGTAGTGGAGGGAGTGTGGCGGAGGGAGTGTGGTGGAGGGAGTGTGGTGGAGAGAGTGTGGAGGGAGTGTGGCAGGGGGGGAGGGGGAGGGGCTTGGTTGAGGGTGAAAGAGAGAAAGGGCCTTGCAGGAGTAGAAGACACATCACCTTCTAGTCGTCGGGCACATCAGCACTCTCCCAACGGCAGCAAGCCCCTGAGGGACTTGAGACGTCTCAAAACTCTTTTGAGGAGTCTAAGTAAGGGAAGACATATCACCTGCTGATTGCTGGGCACATCAGCACTCCAGCACATCAGCACACCAGCACACCTGCTGATTGCTGGGCACATCAGCATTTTCTCAAAGGCAGCAGGCCCCTGAGGGTCATTATCCCAAGTACTTGTTTCCAGGCAGCAGGTTGTGTCTCAGCCCTCACCCGCTGCAAGGCAACTGCTGCAGCTGGGATGTAGCACTCTCACCTCACCAGCACGCCCCTGAGAGGGAGCTCGCCAGCCAGAGCAGTGGTTGGAGAGGTGAGACCACACACAGGGGTCGGAGCGGAAAGAAGAGGCGGCAGTCCAAGGCAGGTGCAGAATAGAGTAGCTTTAAAGATGCACCACTCACCGTCTCCTTCATCCCTCCTATAGGCAGCACCAAGCTTCTGAGAGTGAGCTCGCCAGTCATAGCGCTGTTGGATCGCACACAGCGGTTGGACAGGAGCGAGTCTGGTTTCACAACACAAGGAACAATGGGCAGTGGCTGCTGCAACACTGCACCACTCACCTTCTCCTTCACCCCCCCAACAGGCAGCACCAGCCCCGAGAATGAGCTCCCTGGTCATATCCATGCGCGCTCGCACACAGCGGTTGGAGAGGAGAGAGGAAGCTCAACACAAGGGACAGCACATATTGGTCGGAATGGGGGAAAGTGATTAGGGTAGCTCTCACCTTCTCCTTCACCCCTCCCACGGGCAGCACCAGCCCCCTGAGGGTGAGCTCGCCCGTCATAGCGGTGTCGGACCGCAGACAGTGGTTGGAGTGGAGAGAGGCGGCGCAAACACAAGGGACAGTAAATATTGGTCAGAATGGGAGGGGAGAAGTGATTAGGGTAGCTCTCACCTTCTCCTTCACCCCTCCCACAGGCAGCACCAAGCCCCTGAGGGTGAGCTCGCCCGTCATAGCCGTGTCGGACCGCACACAGCGGTTGGAGAGGAGAGACACAAGTGCGGTTACCAGCGTAACACCGGCTGAAGGGCCGTCCTTAGGTACAGCGCCTGGAGGCGAGAGGGGGAGGGAGCATACGTTGAGGAGGGATTAAAGAGGTTTCCTTTCCAGCATGACTTAGAAACTGGTTGGAGAGGAAGGACACGAGTGCAGTTACCAGCGTAGCGCCGGCAGAAGGGCCGTCCTTCGGCAAAGCGCCTGAATAAAAAGGAGGGCGGGAGGGATGGCGTTGTGAAAGGGTCTGGGGTCTGGTTTAAGTTAAAGGGTCTGGGGTTTACAGGAATGTCTCAGCCTCGGTGGGAGAGGAAAGACACGAGTTCGGTTACCAGCGTAGCGCCGGCTGAAGGCCCGTCCTTTGGCACAGCGCCTGGAGAGGAGAGGGGGAGGGAGCATATGTGGAATGGAGGGATTAAAGAGGTTTCCTTTCCAACATGACTTAGAAATTGGTTGGAGAGGAGAGACACAAGCGCGGTTACTGTCGTAACACTAGCGGACGGCCATCCTTTGGCATTCGGCTCCTGGAGGAGAGAGGAATGGTGAACGCACACGTTGATATGCGCAAGTGTTCAACCTCTTGCACAGAGCAGTTGGAGAGGACGACTCGAGGGTGGTTACCAGGGTAACACTGGCCGAAGGGTCATCATTGGGCACAGTGCCTGGAGGGGAGAGGTATGGTGAACGCACTCATAGATGAGCGCAAGTGTTCAAACTATCGCACAGAGCAGTTGGAGAGGACGACTCGAGAAGCGACATGAGGGTGGTTACCAGCGTAACGCCGGCCAAAGGGCCATGTTTAGGGACAGCACCTAGAGGCTGAAGGGGAAAGAGGAGAAGTTGATGGTTGTGTGAGTGAATGTAAGCTTCCTTCCTGCCCTTCGTGTGGTAGTAATTTCGATTCGAGTCAACTCATAACGAGATCACTGTTACATCTTTAGGGACAGCGCCTGGAGGGGGAAGGGGAAAGATGATGGGTTGTATAAGTGGATGCTTGTGAGTCGACTAAAAAAAAAAAAATGGTTGTATAAGTGGATGCTTTCGAGTCGACTCAAAAAAAGATGATGGTTGTATAAGTGGATGTAAGCCTCCTTCCTGCCCTGCCATCGGGTTTCGATGCCATTAATTCAAATAAGCTAGGTGTATAATCAAGATATACTTCATGTACAATGCACTGCAAGTGAGTGTACATTTGCTACGTGCAGGGAAGTGGATGTGGATATCTCGGGCCTCCATCAGATTGTGAGGAAGAAGCACGGTTCTGTAAACTGTAGATTAGAGACATACATATACAGCTTATTACCTGCAGGGAAGTGGATGGGGACGTCCCGCTCTTCCATGAGATTACAAGGAAGAGGCACTGTTCTGTAAACTATTTAAATACCAATGTGTGTGTATATGTATATATATATATATAAACGCATATATAACTGTTTACCTGCAGGGAAGTGGATGTGGATGTCTCGGCCCTCCATGAGATTGCGAGGGAGAGGCACGGTTCTGGCGGTGTTGCTGTTGCCACCGCTGCTGGTAGTGATGCTGGGGATGCCGGTGCTAGCAGACGCGATACCGGGGCCCATGATGGCCCCATGGCTCTTGGCCGATCTCTTGGGCCCAGTGCTGCTCCTCCTCACTGTGATGTCTGTCTGTGTCGCACCAGCAAATGATGGGAACGCAAGAGGAGAAGCAGCAGCGGAGGTGGCGGTAGCAGCAGGACTAGCAGCCACACCACCAGCAGCAGTAGGACCGGCAGCAGTAGCACTAGTAGAATTGGCAGCAAAAACGGGAGGCGGAGCGAAGGAGGAAGGCATAATGGTGGGAACGATGGCAGGACGAGGGGCGGGGGAGGAGGAGACAGCACCGTAGGGGCCAAGAGGGGGGAGGTGGTCAGCAGCGGGTATGGTGTCGTCGAAGGGGTGGTCTGACGGGGGGAAGGGCGGGAGAGAGGAAGAGAGAGGGGAGGAGGAGGCGGCAGAGGAGGAGGTAGCGGCGGTGGCTGGTGGTGGGAAGAGCTCTGCTGCCCTGGCGCGGACCTGAGAGGAGGTGAAGGGAAGGAGGGAAAGGATGGGAAACTTTGAGAGGAGACAGCACCATAGGGGCCGAGAGGAGGAAGGTGGTCAGCAGCAGGTATTGAGTCAGCAGGTACCGAGAGGAGGGAGGTGGTCATTGAATGGATGGTCTGCAGGGGTGAAGGGCGGAAGAGAGGACGCAGGAGGGGAGGAGGAGGCGGAGGAGGAGGAGGCGGAGGCGGAGGAGGAGGCGGAGGAGGAGGTAGCAGCAGTGGCGGGTAGTGGGAAGAGTTCCACTGCCCTGGTGCGGGCCTGAGTAGGGTGAGGGGTGAAGTGAGGTTGGAAGAGGTGAGGATGGAAGAGGCAAGATGGAAGATGCGACCCTAATCCAGCCGCCACCCCCAAACGCATCGCATGACACCCAGGCATGTGCACAGTGCACCCTACTCC